ATGAATGTTTATAATAACATAGTTGCAGTAGTAACAGCTGAAGTATAGTAAACTCCAAAAATGGTTGTGTTTTGACACAGATTAGCTTTCTAAGGAATAATTCGGAATGGCTTAAAAAAGGGAAAGTAATTGAATAGTCAAAATAATTTCATTTTTTTGGCCAATACATAATACAGTGCGAAGATTGGGAGGTTCTCCCCTTTCTCCGCAAAATCTCGAATATTGAAACTGTTATAGTTCACTGCAAAACAAGCAACGAACTTTTTTTTTTTTTTTTTTGTCATTTTCCAATCTGGATTGAATAGGACTAAAAGTTCTGCGATCTACCAACCCAAGCGAAGAATGATTCTATTCCGGAAATTTGATGCCGCCTGTTGAAAATTAGAATGGAAAACACCCCAGTTATTTATTCTCGCAATACCGGCAGCTGTTGATTCCGATTGTGTAATATCACGTAGGGAAGAATTACGGCACACATATTGCGCAATAACATTTGCAATATTTTGCAGAGATAATTAATTTTTATATTCTGTCTGAGATTTGTTTCTGAACACTTAAGAGAGTTTTACTGTGCTTGCTAAGCAGAATATTTTTCAGTTCCATTAATTTATTTTTATATGATGCACATATCGAAATGTCAAAAGCATTTATTTAGCGGAAAAATCTAAAGAGCGGCAACTGTCTACCCCCCCCTTCCGCTCCTCTTTTTCAAGTTACGATCGACTGTCCGAATATTCGCCAATTTCCAAGTATGCGTGTTAGTTAAGCTTTTACTTTTAAAGGATGACTGCATGAAGCAAATTTCTGTCTTTTGATTTCAGAAATGTTCCTCTTTTTTACTTAAATTACTTGGGAAAACTGATATACAATGAAAATTTAGAAAATTTTCAGAATTTAAATTTAAATTATTTAAATATAAATATGAGTAGAAAAAATAAATTGTATTTATTATTAAGTTCCAAGCGAATACAACAATATGCCTTATTATTATTTATTTTCTATTTTGAACTGAAATTTCATCATTAAATCTTGTGATATAGTTAGTTCTGCATAGTTTTTTTTTCTCTCATTGTAAACTAGTTCTGTAAATTGAACTTTTATTTAAAATAAAAAAAAAAAAAAATCATTATTTTCCATGGTTGAGGTAATGCTTATTCTCTCTAAAAATACTGCATTTCTCATATTTTAAATTACAAGTCTAATTTTTAAGGTTATGCAGTTGTGTATAATGTAATTATACAGATGCTTATTTTCTTAAAATGTGCTTGAAAAGTGCTTATTTTTTTAATTAAAATGTGGCTATGAACCCTGTCATATACTTTCCTTCCTTATTGAGCTCATAGACAACATCATTAGCAAACATGGAAATCTAATGTAAAGGTTGTATTGTAATGTAAGGGTGTTCATTGTGGTCATGTTGAAGATATCTCTTATTCTACCATACCTTTGGTTTGTTTCATATATGTGCTAGCTTTGGAACTAAATTTTTTTTAATTTACTGTACTGTCATTTTACGTCTTACTATGTGTTACATATTTTGACTGAATTTTTGAAATATCCACTCTGTTTTGACTTATTTTCTGTTTTTTTTTAATTTTGGAAATTTTAATGTTTTGCTTTAGAAGTTACTACAAGTTACTTGTGATATATAATTGATAAAATTCAGAACTGGACATGGGTAAGGAGAGAGAGGCATTTCCTCGAGTGAAAAACTAGAACACTGATTTAAAATGTTATATATAAATTAATATTTTATTAACTTTCAATATAGTAGTTACATTTTTTCATTCTAAGTTTGTAAAAATCGAGACTTTGCTTGTTTCCATCCGAAATTGAATGCAGATTGTCATAAATCTGTTGTATGATAGCTTTTCTATAAAATTTAAGTTTTTATTCCATGCTAGTGAAAATTGATTTTATATAAAAGGTATTTTTTACATATAAGAAAGGTCTTTCATTATAATGTTAAATATTTAACAAATTTTCTGTCTTAACAAAATCTGTTAAACAAAATACTGTCTAGCATTTTGTTATTCTTCATTATTTTTAATGTAGGGAAGTTAATCTGAATATGTAACTGACTTGGACATTATGCTTGTTAGATTGCTATGTTGTTGGGTGCAGGTTTGAATCTATAATAAAGCATTGGTATGTGTTGTTTTGCAAAAGCAGGACATTTAAAATTTATTAGTTTAAGGCAGTATCCAAATATTATTGTGAGAGAAGAGTGATCCAGAGTGTGGGCAGCACTTGTATGCTTTTTCTAATAAAATACTTGAATTCAGTGGTAATCAGATTTTCTGGGAACTATTACAGATAATAAAAATACTCTTTATAAAACTAAATTTCCCTTTATAGTTTTGAAATGAATTATTGAATTGTTATACTACTTATAATAGTAAAAATTCGTGCATTTCATTTTATACATTTTAAATCATGTACCATATATTCTAGCGTATAATGCGCTCTTTCGATACAAAGAATTAGATTGAAACTTACGGGTGCGTGTGATACACCGAGTATAAAAATCGTAGATTTAAAAATAAAGTCAGCATTTAAAAAAAAAATTTAGATTTCTGTGTGTACCTAAATGCTGTTTATATAAAAGAAATGACATACCTTATGAACTTAAAAATTTTTATTACCAGATAGCATGAAAACGAATGTGATGAAACATATTTGTTTTCTGTTATATCTTCAAACACATCATCAAATTCTGTTTCATCTTCACAATCACTGTTACTCTGATCCATAAATAAATAATCATCATCTGTTCCATCTAGATCGTTAGATGTACTGCTCTTCGTAAATGACTTGAATTATGTCAGCTTAATTTCATTCCATGCTTTTATTAGCCACTCAGACACTATTTCTAAACTGGTTTGACGCATTTGGTCTTATTTTGTAAATATATTTCACCTATTCCACTGTCGTTTTAGATTTTCTTTGAATGGTTTATTGATACATCTGAAGACTGAAGTAAAGCGTTAATCTGCCTGGAATAACTACCATGTCTGTATCTTAAAATTTTCTAGATTATCAGCAATGAGAGAATAAAGACTACACCTAATCATTTAATTTCAGATTAAACTAGTGACAATTATTTTAATTGTATTAGCTAGATAAGCTTTAAGCTACATAATGTCCTATTTTTCTTAGCTTCCGTCATAAAAATGAGTAGCTCAATGCAGAAAGTTGACGCAAATGTGGTTAGTGAAGTGAGATTAAGTACTCATATTTCTTAACTGTAGGTTGTGTTGTTGTTGAATCACAAGCAATTGCTGATTCTTGATTCAAGTGCTCATTGTTGAAGAGTTTTTGTGATGCATTATTGAGAATAGATCTCATCTAGAGATACGCGAAATTAACGATTTAGTTGGATAGTAAAAAATTCCAAGTATCCGCGTATGTCGACTAGTACTGACTTTTGCGTAATGGAAAGTTAGCTTAATTTAAATTTGTGTCTTGTAATGTTAGTTTTCTTATTTATTACCTCTGAATTGAATCACATGATTGGATTTCAATAATTTCTTCGTATTATACGTTAGATGAGATCTGAACATGTGACTAAGACTTTTTGGATTATTTAAGGCAAAAGAATGCTTTCACCAAAAATTTCTTATCCACAATACACAACGTTTTTGTTCATCCACCCTCTCTCGCGAACATGAATGAAAACACCATTTGGGAAATTAGTTTGTCATCATCTTTCTTTTAAAAAGTAACCATGGATTTTAATTTTGAACTGTCTGCTAAGCAGTACATTAGAAAAGGAAAGCAGTATGGTAAAGTGAGATTTTCATGAACCCCTTTTTTTGTGTGAACAGTTTTTATTCATTTTACATGAATTGTTTTATTTCCTATCATTTCAAACATTACTGGAATTTCATCCATATTTCTAGTATGGGAGAGTAAATACTGTTTTTGCCTTCGTGGGTCAGTAACCTACTTCTTGAAACTAATCAATTTATTATCCAAATCTCTTGCAAAGCTTTCTGAAACTTTTTTTTTTTCCTTGTAGAACTAAATTATTCCATGCCATAAATCTAGTACACCAACTCAAAGTTGCTTTAAAATTTTTGCTTTCATTTGCATTATTTTTGGCCCTTTTTAAGGCAAATAAACGTGTACAATTTCTTGTTACAATTAATCCATTATTCTGGCGTTTTTCCAAGGACACAATTCACAACACTGTCTTCTATGAAAGGCCATTTATTACTCTTTTATGCAAAGCACATATATTCTTTCGTATATTAGTTATTGTGATTTCATTTTTCTTTCACTCATGTATGTATACCAACATCAAAATCCGGGCTGCAGCACGATTTTCATTTTCTTTCGTGAAATGAATATCTTTGCATTTGAAACCAATACTGTGTTTGCTTCTTTTCCCAGAAGCTTATTTACTACTGAAAGGAGCACTAGATCAACTGTATTTCAACTAAAGCAAGTGCGATTTACTAAAGCCTTCGTTTCAAAATCACTGCTTCAAATGCTACAGAAAAGAAAACATCTAACTCCTAATTACGCAAATAGGTTAGAAGTGCATTCCTACTCCAAATTATATCCCTCTTTTCTTAAAACCCTACAATAGCATTATTTTGGACAGCTGTATTGAATATAATCCATAATCGCAGGAATATTTACTCACTCGCTCATTTAACCCTTGCATATATTGTTCCCCATATCACTTGTCAGTTTGGTATATAAGAGTAAAACAAATCTTTGAATAAGTGTCCTCAAAAGTCCTCCTGCACGTGTATCTTTTAGGTTTCTTCATGAAAAATTGTGTGTGCATTATACACTGAATACACCTAAAAATTGAAAAATATAGCTTAAAATTATAGATGTGCATTATATGCCGGAAAATATATATCTAATCTTTTTAATTGATCTGTGAATGTGTAGAAAATTTGCGTTGAGAACACATTGTGTTATAGTATTTCATTGATGTTAAGTTTCCCCTTTAGTTAAAATTAGGGTGTATTGTTTCTTTTAAGGTCCAGATAGAGGTCAAAAGAAGCCTGCTGCTTCACATGAGGTACATCCAGCTTTTTCCAGTGAACCTAAAAGGAATGATGATGATGAAACATCTGGGGAAGTACCAGATAAAAAACTCAAAATCAAAAAAGAAGTTGCATGCTCTCAAGAGCTTTTAGAGCAAGTTTCAGGTTTGTCATTACAGCCTTCAGAAAGGGAAAAACCACAGAAAAAGTATTCAATGGCTAAAAGGCCAGGGTATGGAACTAAAGGTAAAAATATTAATCTAATTGCAAATTACTTTATGTTAAAATTCAGAGATATGAATATTTATCATTATGATGTGGATATAGTTCCAGTTAAAACAAATACTAAGGGTGCAACAAGCATATTTGCTAAAGGAAGAACATTGAAAGAAGATAAAAATAAAAGTGTGCCTGTTGTAGAACACCAGCAGAAAAGGAATATGGGTAAAGCAAAATGTAGGCAAATTATTGCATCTTTGGTTAGAAGCAGAGCTTTACGAAATTTCTGCCCAGTTTATGATGGCCAAAAAAATATCTTCACAACTCGAGAATTACCTTTTCATGAGAAAACTTCTGTGAATGTAGATGTTGAATTAGAAGGTCAACTAAAGACTTTTTGTGTAACTATACAACCAGTTAAAAAAGAAAATGGTAGTAATATTATTAGCTTGGAACCATTAAAGGAATTATATTCTGGTCGTTCCAAGGAAATACCTCAAGAAGCATTACTAGTTTTTGATACCATTATGAACCATCGGGAACCTCCGCTGACTCATGCTAATCTTCGAAATTCATTTTTTGATCTAACTCAGAATAACTCTCAGAATTTGGGATATGGTTTAGAAATATGGTTTGGATACAGTCAAAGTGTTCGTTTAGCTCAGAAATCTCCTGTAGTGGTTGTTAATTTAGCTGCTAAAGCATTTCACAAGGCTGGACCAGTGATAAATTATGTCTGTGATATTTTAAATACTGACATTAGAAAACTTCCTAGATTAAATCCCTATCAAGTAGGTGAATTGACAAAAGCTCTAAAAGGTGTTCGTGTTCGAGTGACACATCAAAGGCACCCTCGAACATACAAAGTAAAAGGAGTAAGTGAATTGCCTGCCAGAGAGCAAATGCTAGATGTTGAAAACAGAAGAATTTCGGTGGCACAGTATTTTGCTGAAAAATATAGACATCTCACTTACCCTTCTTTACCATGTCTTCATATGCAAAGTAATACAAATAAAACTTACATACCCATGGAAAATTGTGAAATAGTTGAGGGACAAGCCAAAGTAGGAAAACTTAGCGGTGAGTTGACAGCTCAAATGATAAGAAATACTGCTGTGCCACCTGCAGAAAGGTTTCAGCGAATAATGGACTATTCCCAAACAATACAAGATACAAGTGGAGGACCAATGAATGCTTTTGGCCTTATTATGGATATTCATTTAATGAAGCTAAATGGTAGAGTAATAGCTGCTCCAGCTCTTTCATATGCTGGTGAGTCCCCATCACGAATTGCAAGACCAGACCAAAGAGGTGTTTGGAAAATAGAAAGTGGAAAGGAATTTTATAAAGCAGTAAAACCAAAGAAATGGATTTTAATGAGTTTTGCCAATGAGAGATTTTGTGGACGTGATAAATTGCACCGCTATTGTGATTTTTTGGTTAGTTCAAGTAGGAAGTGTGGAATGAGATTAGAGCCTCCTTTTGAGATAAAAATTTTTGATCAGAGAAGTAGTACAGAAGAAGCTATAGCATATGCTAAAAGTATTGGTGCTGAATTTGCTGTTATAGTTTTATCTCGTAGGGACAACAAACATTCATACGAAGAAGTCAAATTTCTTGCAGATTTTAAATATGGATTAGTTACTCAATGCATGGAAGATAAAAGCTTAGGGAGAATCAATGATCAGATTACAACTAATGTTTGTCTAAAAATTAATGTTAAATTAGGTGGTATAAATCATGTTTTTCTCCAAAAACCTCAGATATTTTCTAGACCAATTATTGTTTTTGGTGCAGATGCTATTCATTGGGCTAGAGGTTTTGGATATCCATCTATAGCATCAGTCGTTGGAAGTCTTGATCCAACAGCATCTAGGTATGCATTAACATGTCGTTTACAAAAAAATGAAAAAGAAGGGAAATTATCACAGGAGATAATTAGGAAGCGGCTTATGCAAAACATTGTTAAAGGAATTCTAGAAGCATTCAGTAGAAGATACAGTGGTAAAATACATCCTGAAAAAATACTTTTCTTTCGTGATGGTGTAAGTGAAGGCCAGTTTACATCAGCACTTCAGGAAGAAGTAAGTGCTATTCAGGAAGCCTGTGTAGATTTATATAAGGAAGTCTTGCCTGTTACGTATGTTGTTGTGCAAAAAAGGCATCAGACTAGGCTCCGACCTCAGGATCCTAGGGATGGAGCTGGTAAAAATGGTAATGTTCCCCCTGGAACTACAGTTGATACAAGTATTACTCATCCTGTATTTTTTGATTTTTTTCTTTGTTCTCATGAGGGCATTCAAGGAACTAGTAAGCCAGCCCATTACACTGTACTTCATGATGATAACAAGTTTACAGCTGATGATCTGCAGCAGTTATGCCATTTCTTATGCCATTCATACATTCGTTGCACTCGGAGTGTTTCCATTCCAGCACCTGTATTGTATGCAGATTTAGCAGCTGCCAGAGCAAAAAAATATGCTGATTTATTCATTGATCCAGATTCAGCAAGTAGTTCTGGTTCTGACAGTACACAGAAGTCATTGCCTGCAAACGTTCGTGAAGCTATTGAGAGTATGCAGAGTTTTGAAAATAATATGTTCTATGTATGAAAAGGTTTATTGAATCAGCTTTGTGTAAACAACAGTCAATAAATCTGATTTAATTTGTATTACATATTTTTGAAAATATGTTCTGTGTATGTACAAGGTTAATGAAAGCATTTTATTTTATGACAAGGATATCACTGCTGTATTGATTTAAAATTTATTAAAGTTACCTTTTAAATAGACTTTGGAGTTTTAATGATAGTGATTTATTGTAAAGAAAAACTTTTTTGTTGAACTGTAATTAAATGTATCGTATGGGTTATCTTAGAATTTTCTTTTTTATGATGATGTAGGAAATGCATGTTTAAGGTTAAGTTTTGAAGGAGAGCCGTCCCTTTTTGTCCCCTCCAAGCATATATATGAACTTAGATTTAAAACCAGCTTTCAGAATAGTTTGTGATAGCAAAAATAATTAAAATTCCATTAGTTAAATACTAAAGCAGTTTCGTTTTGCTTAAATTTCTAATCAGTGCACAGATATTTTTAATCTGTATTCTAATTTCTGTTATTAGTAAATTCACATATGCAAGAAGTAAAATTATAGAGAATAATAGGCATAGGATTTATTACATAAAAAGAGCAGTTAGAATGACTTAGCAAATTCTTATACATTAAGTATTTGAATTGCATGTTGTAATAATTATTGTAATCATAATTCCTGTTTTTGTTTGCACCATAAAATTTAAAGCTTATGTTTTGAGTAAAATTTGAAGTAAAATTTTGAATGATACATCTCATTGAATCAGCAGTTTATGATCATATTAGGGTCTTTTGAATAAGAATGTACACTGCCAACACCTTCTTAAACAGAAGCCCAACTACGAGATCGTGACGTCACAAATTGGCGGCTGACAATCGCCGTTGGTCACCTACTATCTGCCTTTAAAATATATATGTTTTTAAAGCTTTACTAACGGGAGAGTATTTTCTAATGATGTAGATACATATTATTTTTCGTTTTTTATTTTATATATATTGAAAAAATATATATTTCAATTCATTCGCGGATATATAATATTGGAAACATTTTCCTTTGCACAAAACATATTATATATTATTAATTTTTTCTATGATCTTATATTGTATGTTTACAGTTAAAATGATGCTTTAAGGTACTGGTTGACGTTTGGTAAGTAACAGTAAGGTAATGTTGGAATCTCCCTTCATACTAATAATATTCAAGTCACTTAACTGCATAAAAAATATATAAGAAGGATGTGTGGAAAATATTTTTAAGGATATTAGAAGTTTTTAAATTTTAGCAGGATAGATTTATAAGCACACATATTACACGTAAAACCTAAATTTTCTAAACCTTTTATTATTTTCACAATATATCCATGCAAATTAATTTTGATGATAATGATTTTACAGGGACAATACTTATAACATCCTTATATGAAGATCTAATACTCTGCAGCATAAAAACACAAGCAGAATTAGCAGCGTTTTCACAATTATATTTTGCTACATTCCTATTATATTTTCACCTTTGAAATCTAAGAATGGCTTAATGTGATTTTCATCAACCATTAAAGTGACATATTACCGTTTTCGTCTAAAAAGCGGATTTTTTTCCTTAGCATAATTCAGAAAATTTTCAGGAGCAAACACTTTAGATCAACATTATATTCCACTTTAGGATACACATTATATTCAGAATACAATCGTTTCAATGTAGAAGGATGTGGCAAAGTAACATATGCACTATTTCTTAAAAATTTGTAGCAATGTGGAGAAATTGAAAACATCAAACTTGATAATATTAACAGATCAGAACTATACCTATTATTATTTTTATGCAAAACGAGTAATGTCAGCTGCTCAAATATAAACTGAACTTCTTTCTTTTTATGTTCAGGGGCATTTTTTTCTAATTCCCGAAAGCCTTGAGTTACGAATAATAAAATTTTAAAGCTTCTTTCATTATTATCACCTTTAATTTTTGCAACTTCTTTAAGCAATGAACAGAGATTATACACATCATTAATTTTTAAAGGGAATTCATGGTTACTAATTTTTGTTAATGGAATATCTCGAAAATATGCTTCCACAGGCAGATCATTATGGATAACGACTGATACAGATATAAAAGGAGCAAATTCTGTGCTTATCTGGAGAAAAAATAGACTATTTTCTTTAATCACAACTGTTAAATCATCAAGTATCTTAACATTTTTTAGACATGATGAAAGCTCACTCAGATTACTGTAATTACCTAATTACTAATTTTAAAGTAATAAAAGTAGGATTTCTAGTAATGCAATTTATATTTTAACAAAACAGGTAAATAGCAAGCATATGTGTGTTTGTCTCCCACTCGAGAAGGGGGGGAAAGGATTCTTAAGTGACAAGTTTTAATAATATTTGAATTTTCATGCATTAGAAATTTAAATTATTTCTTGTTTTACGCAAAACTGTGAGCTTTATATTACAATTTAAAAAACCATAAGCATATTTATTGCCTTCACAGTTTCTTTGGAAAAACTTTTAAAACCAAAATATATTAAATATTAAGCTAAATAATTTCATTTGCTGCCATATATGTATGAAGTTAGAAGTTCCAAGTTATAAAATTAATCAAAAAGTAAAAAATTGGACGTTAGCATGCAATTCGATACATAATTATACTAATCGATACGTAATTACACAATATTATACACAATGTATTCTATAAAAATGAAATTCCTTAATATTAACGTATCCATTCTTTCAAATGTAGAAGCAAATACCTTAATAAATTTAAATTTCAAGTTAGGCTTAACTTACCCGAAAATGCTTCGAAATGGTAAAATTTTCTCGCGGTATCGATTTTAATCATCTATGTAATACATCTTGTTGCTTAGGAAATCTATATTCTCATACTTTAGAACCGTCACAATAATTTTGTCGGAATAACGGCACACAGCACTTTAAAGGCATGATTGAAATCGAAAAAAAAAATATATCAATATCAAATTAAGGCGACATGGTTCACGCGCCTTCTCCCGACCAAGGACGAATTTCCCCTAACTTGCTAATGCCATCTAGATAGCCTTGGTTTAGGGGTGATTTTTCGCACCCCATTGAGAAGGCCAACAGTTTGTGATGTCACTAAACTACGAGCCTTCAGTAGGGAGGCTTGTATTTAAGAAGGTGTTGACACTGCTAAAAAAATGGGACAGTGCTATATCTCCCGTTCTACTGGGCCGATTGACAAAATTGAAACTGCGTTTTTCATGTCTTGAAAGCACGACTTGGGATATATATTGGATTCTAACATAGGTATTTTGACACAAAATCGGACTTTTTCTGAAATAACATACCAATTTTTTTCCATATTTCGATTCTATGACTCAAATTATGCCAGACTACCAAGTTTTGTAAAAATCGTGTGAGTAGTTTTTAAAATGTTAGCTCTCAAAATTTTAGCTCCTCAATGTTAATTGAATTTGGCAAATATTTATTAATATCTCTTTTTTTTTATTAAACTTTTATTATTTTTCCTTTCACACTTCGAAATTTAGGCTCATTCCAAATAAAATTTACCCATATTTTGTGTTTTATTTTTTAAATTAATTTTTATAAATTTTCAAAAAAATTTTTGAATTAAAATTTTTACCATCATCTTAAAGTAGGTGTATTACTAAGCATACCTGCAAAAAGTTATACTTTTTTTATTCAAAATTTACTAAGATATACAGGAATTTACATATTTTCACGTTTTGAAATTTGGCAGCATTTTTTTGAGCGATAATAATGCCAAATGTCGTTTATTGGATTTTTGTTACAGTGAATTAACACAGCTAATTCTAACTTTAAATTTCAAGTAAAATTTTATGGAGAATTAATTATATGAAATTTTTTCCCTCAATGATGCGTAATAAATATTCATTAATACTATATGAAAAGCTATTTTTTTTAATTATAGATGATATTGAAATTTTTAACTTTTTTTTTTTTCTCTTTCTTCCTTTTTTTAAAAAAATATTTGTAAGAGTAAATTTTTATCTTCGGCGTTTTATCGTCTGCTACTTTACGTTAACTTCGTTTAATGTTTATTTGAATTTTACGAAAATATTTTATGACATTAACTGCATAATTTATTTCTAAACAAGCTGTTGCTTATGAAGTGGCTGAAAGAGCGGCTGATACTATCGTCCATATTTTTAAAGCACAGTATATTTTTAGAGAAACATAAGATTTAGAATAATCATTTTTATAAAAGTCAAATTATGATATAAACATACAACCCTCTAGAGATCGAATTAATGGAAGTTCAATGGTTATATAGAAATGATCTGCAGCTACTTAATGGCTCGATAAGTCAGCAGGTTCTGTGGACAAGTAAGAATAATTATATAAACGACACCCAAATTCTCGATTCAATCAACAACGAGGGTACGATGTTTATTAAATGAATTTAAGTTTTTAAACATAAAAAATCATTTTTTATCCTAAAATGTATTTTTATGCATAGCGTACTTTCATTATATCCTTAAAATTCTAATTTAGAATGTAATTGTCAAGAACTGAATTCAATCATCAGTAATATAATAAGTAATTATCACGGTTATTAATAAGTCCTTCTCATAAAGTAATTGCAAATGTTTCAAAAAACTTTCTGTCAATGCAAATATTTCTAATTTTATATTAATCAAGATTGTACACGATATTATTTATTAACACTTCAGTTCTTACCGTCGGCTCTAGTAGAAGTTACAAATCAATTATATTTAATTAAGGAATGACCATCAGTTTAGAAATAGTGTACCATAACAGCAACTCAATTATTGGCACCGTATCTTTCATGTTACTCCTGATTGGCAAGCTATATGATTTTTAATGAGTATTCGGGTTTTGCTAGTAACTTCACATGGAAATCGCGCTTAAACTAGGCTAGTTGGTTATTTGAACATAGAAAGAACATAGGAGCTATTCGGTTAAGATGCTTTCATAGAGAACCTTTATACAAAGAACCAAGAAGACTATGAAAACCAACCATGCAGCCTGGGTTTAGGCTTCGCAACAAACAATTAGTATTTAACAATCTTCAAATGCTAGGCAACAATTCTGCAATTGCCCGAGTAGTTGACTTGTAAATGGCTATGAATTAAGCAGACGACTTTTAATCTTACGTTATCAGAAAACTTATTCCTAATGTTTTGTATTGCATGAGAATGCATCTTTTCATTATTCAATA